CAAAATGATTCCTGGTACATGCCTGACTTGCCTTTGGAGCTGTGCAATATGGCACAGCTCTCTATAATCCCAGGTCTGAAGCAAGAGGGTCACAAGATCAAGGCCAATCTGGACTATCAAAATGCTATCGTAACAACAGCAACTGCCTTCCCTAAAAACTAGATGTAACTCTAACTTCCCACTTATTTTACCTTAGATTAAGGAGTAATAAGCTTTAAACTCGGGGCTGGAGTGATGATTCAGTGGTTCAGAGGACTTACTGCTTATCCATCGGACCTACAACACCAGCACAGCAGCTAAAACCCTATGTAACTCCAGTCCCAGGGGATCCGATGCCATCTTCTGGCCTCTATGGGCATCAGGCATGCATGTGGTGGACAGACAGACAGACATATGACAAAACACCCATACACACAAAATATAATTTTAAACATATATTTAAACTGAAAACAAGTCAACTTTGTACTGTGCACAAATATTATCATAGTCAATCAATCTCTGATTTCCATGACATCTCTGGCCATACCTGAATGTGCCCAACATAGTCTATTATTTCCATGACAACAAAGCTTTCCTTTGAGGGACATTTTAATATTTTTACTAGAACATGGAATGATGGCCTCATGTCTGAAGAACATATTAATCTATTAAAAATAATTCAACAATTTAAATGTTAGCTTTTATGTTAAATGTGTTTCATGCATTAAAATAATTAATGTATATGCTGCTTCTAAAAACACAGTTAAATACACTTATTAGCATAAATTAAAAGCAAGCCTTTACCTTAGGAACCACAGCACTTCTCAAGAGTAAACGTGGTATAATTGAGGCACACAACATATTTGGGCAAATGGAGTTAAGCTGTCATATTAACAAAACACTAAATTCACCAATTTATCCCTCAGTTCTGTGCAGATGAACACACAGTCTGAGAGTAAATCATTACAGCATGCCATTGCACCAAATACCAAGTGACAGTGACGAGAACCACAGTTGCTTAAAAACAAAAGGCACACTGTGTAAACAGGTGGACGGTAAAAATCAAACAAAGTACATAAAATCTACTACTTTCTATAAATGTCTGAACCTTTCGGGCAAAAGAAGAGGAAAAAGAAGAATTCTCCCCTACAAAAGCCTAAACAAATTCTCCTCTACAAAAACCTAAATAAATGCCTATCACCAAATGCTACATGTGACATGCTGAAGTGTTGAGCCCTTAAAAATCACAAAGCAGGTCTGAGGACCAGTGGTTAAAGAGCCCATGATGGAAACATGAGACCTGGAATTCAGATAACCAGAACCCACATAAATATCAGGTGGGTGTATGACATCCTGCCTGTAATTCCAGCCTTGGAAGGGAGAGCCAAGTGTCCCCTAGAGCAGGCTGTCTAGTGAGACTAGCCATATTGACAGAGCCTTCCTCACTGAAGAAAGTACAAGAGGATGATTCTTAGCATCTCTCTCCGGCCTCCACATGCACACACGTGTATGCCTATACACTACTAACACACATACACACAACACATGCACGCACATGCACGCAGCAAAAAGGGGGAAAAGTCACAGATCAGAAGATAATACCAAGCCCCATCTGTACTTTCAGTCTTTCTCTACGAAAGTCAAGAGTGGACTCAGCAAAGACCCTCCAGCTCTTCGAGACAAGGAAGCTTTGCTCACCCATTGCTCATCTGTACCTTGGATAGTAGACAGCACCGCTGTGAGGCCACTGGTCTTCTGGGAACCTCAAAGCACCTAGCATATGAACCAAGTTCTGCCCTAGTGTGAATATGCAGCATGAATCACAAGATATTTGAAGAGAGTTCTTTGTTTCACAGGAACAGAATGCTCCCTTTTAGGCAGAAGGTATTCTCAGAGGTCAAGATGATCTAACTATAGTCATGTGTGCAATATCCAAGGTATTATTGGCAAGAGATAAATCTGTGGACTTTGCCTTCCAACCTCAAGAATCAGACACCATTCCCACATTGCTGAGACAATAGTAAACCAGCACCAGAGCCCCAAACTATCTAGAAGAAGTCTCACCTTGGCCCCATGTTACAGAATCTGTAAAGTTCTCAAATATGCTGCCTTAGCATTTAAAGTTGGCCCTCAAAGCCCACTAGAGTGAAACCAGCCTTGTCCATGAGTGAACTTCAATGCCTAAACCAAGTCCAACATAGAGAGCAGACATACAGTAAAGTCTGATTTTGTTAAGTGAATGTTTCAAAAGAGTTGCTCCGTTTCCCATTCTGTGCATCAGAACCCTGGACCATTACTGTTTATCATGCATCAGAGCAGAATAAGAAAAAGCAGAGACCTAAAGAGGGATCAATAAAAGCCTAGGACACTTAGAGGGCGTTGCAAAGACACAATGAAATACACTCTCCAAACCAAAGGTAGTTGTGGCGGGTGCATTATGCCCTAATGACGGTCACACCCTAATCTCTGAGATCCACGAATATATAACAGGGCAAAATGTGCTTTGTGGGGGTAATTTAGTATATAGACCTTAAAACAAGGAAATCCTCTTGACTACTTGGATGGGCAGATATAATGATGGCAGTTCTTTAAAGCACAGAACTTTCTGTGCCTAAAGACAGAGAGGTGTGGCAGAGTCAGATATTTAAACCATGAAAGAGACTCAGCCCAGGTGCTCAACAGAGATGTGTGAAAAGGATGAGAGACAGCACTGCCTCTAAAAGCAAAGACCCATGCCCTGACCGAGAGCCTGAACAGGGACTTCAGGCCTACAAGAGAAAGGAACTGAACTCAGCTGATACCTAAATGAATTCAAAGTGAATCTATCTTCAGAGTCTCCAAACACAAACCCAACCATGACAACCTCAGCCTAGATGTGCTCCCAAAGCACCCAGGTTTCTGCCCTTCAGGACTGGGAGTTAATAAATGCATGCACTGTTAAGCTCCTGTGTATATGGTACTTTATCACAGAACAAAAGGAAAAACAAAGCCAATGCAACAGCAGGGACCCTGACTACTGAGGCAAATAAATTGTTCTTTTCAACTAGACTGTTCCATTACCATGGCTTTCTCCTACGATGCACAGGGAAGTGTAGGCTATAGTAGGGAGGCAGACAGATCCCCACATATGCTTCCATCCTCTCTCTGGGAAAAATGCAATAAGGACCTCAAAGAACATTCAGAGAAGGTGAAGGGAAGTTCACCTGCTCCACCTAGTCCTCATGGACAGCCACATCACCCCGCTGACCAAGGATATAATCCAAGTTGTAGCCAGGTGGCCCCAAGAGTTATTATCTTATCAGTACAGACACTATGGTCACTCAACATTGTTAGTATGTTCATGACCTCCATGAGTTCACCCTAGAGATGGAGTTCTATACATCAATCCATCCTTGTCTTCACTAGAAAGCCACCTTTTTGAGAATCTCCACTAAGTAGGGTACCCAGAACAATTCTGATATAAGACACACTCTATAAATACTGTTCAGTAAATGAGTGGGTCTGGAGGTTGGTGTTTGGTTCGTGGGTTTTGTTTTGGGTTTGGGGCAATATCTAGACCAACAATGTCACTTTTTATTGACATATTTTTCAGGATTGCTTTGTTTATTCTGCCTGTGGTTCCTAACACTGATCTTTAGAAGGAAACATCGATGTTACCAGCAACTGTTTTCAGCATGCAACTTGTATTACTTGTGTCAACTAAATAATCAGCTTGCAGTTGGTGAGCATCTAGTATAGGACTGATATATAGCCACATAGAAATATATATAAAAATAATCATACTAAATGATAAACTATATTACCTCCATATAAAGTAAGAGGAAGTGGAAGCTTGTAGAACCTAAGATAATTTTTCCAAAGTCAATGACATGTATAAAAAGCTGAACCAATATTTGAACCCAGATCTCCATAGTCTCAAGTCATGCCCTTCTAACTCTGCAACACTGCCCCCACGTTGTCCAAATGCCATTATCCAATCACCCCTAGCCTAGAGGAGACCCAGGAGACAGAGTCAGAATATTTTTTTGCTGAAAAATAGGGAAATACCTACACCAAAAATAATAATCACATGAGGGGAAAATATTTCAAAACATGCCTCTTCTGATAAGGCACTTTTGTTACAGAAATGCATATTAACAGAACAGTTTTCCTCCATGAGACTTTGTTGTGCATCTGGCTTTTGTCCTAGCTGCAAGTTCTTGGCACAATTAACTGCCCACTGGCACAATTAACAGCACAGGTTGCATACACTGATCATCATAAATATTTAAATTTCAGCCAAATAGCAAAAGAAAAAGTGTACTTATTATAAACCAAGTATCAGTCCCAGTATTCCAATTAAGGCACTGCTTAATTCAATAAATAACATTATAAATGTCTGAAAGACATTCCATCTTAGACATCTTGCAAAACATTTTCACACAGCACAATTCTTGTCACTCACTACAGTCTACTTTAAGAATCCCATGTTTTGATTTTATGGAGAAAGAGTTCTCTGGGGCAGAAGCTGAATTCCAGATACTCTTCACCCAGGAGACATGCAGGGGGTACACTGAAGCCATCCTAATTAACATTGGTTCATGAACATACTAACCACTATCTCCCCCTTCTACTGGTTTTAAAATCACTGGTAAGTAGCCATCTCCTACTAATCATTTCAAGACTTTTTCTTAAATGGTGTGTGTGTGTGTGTGTGTGTGTGTGTGTGTGTGTGTGTGTCTTCCTTCAAATGCACTTTTACTCAGAAATACAACATGAAAGGTGGCCCTTCTCTAGTTGAAACAGGCACAAGACACAGTGGGCCTGAACTCACTGCAACTAGAACATTCTTCTCCAACTTACGCCTTGGGAAATGGACTGATATTTGAAAGAACACTTAGAATATGACTGGGCTAAATTATATCACCAAGTCCCAGCCATCCCCAAGTCTCTAGAAAAACAAGTCATGTTGTCCAGGAAAAGAGCGCACATTCCCAAGGCACAGGTGCTGGAAGCTTCCTCAAAGGAGCAAAGCCACTTACCACGACCGGCTTCAGGATGTCCATGTTGTAACGCAGCACTCGTTCTGCTGCATCTAGCTTCTCCCTTGGTAAACCACAAAGGGCAGAAACTTCCAGGTCACCAAGCTGAATGATTTCTTCTAGTTTTGATCCATTACACAGACTGGACAAATGTAATTGGTAGCCTTGCAAAAATACCTAGAAGGGTTTCATGTAAAGAGAGAAGAGAAAAATTACCAGTATGGGAAACTGAGTCCTGAAATCCTTGGGGGAAGGTCACATCAACACCGCTTGGAAGATCTTCAGCAGAACACCATTACAGTCACCTCACAGATGATGTCTTTTTATTGAACTATGGAATGAATCAAGCCACCATCTGCTACATATTTCAAAACTGCAGGCATGACTCAAAAAGCTATCTCCACACTGTTGTCCCTCTAGCACAGGGAAATCCTTAATGCAAGTCTTTTTGTGCAATGTGACTGGAACATATGATTCAGCTAATGGAAACCCAGAGTTTAAATGCCTGGCACCATTAGAGGAAAGTCATCCTAACTATTCTGGAATTTATGACATTGAACACTGAAATTTAGCTGAATCATGAAAAAAAATTATACTGTAAATCTGCAGGTATAGATATTTAACAAATCCACAGAACTATGTTCACGGAATGCCAGGACTGGGAATGTTTTGTTTTACTTGCTTATATCAACCCTTTGGTTGACCAGTTCTAAGTCATCCTTACTGTTCTTTATAGTAAAGCCAACAGGGAACCTCTCTTTGGCCATACACATCTACATAGTTAGCCTTTCTGGGTTTAAAGAAACTTTTACCTAGCTGAGCCTCACACTCTATCCAGAAGACAGAAATCTTTGGAGTAAGATGGAGTTGTCTCTGTTTCCAGGGATCATTTTTGTATCCACAGCACTAGAACAGCATTGTTGTATGAATGAATGAATGATTCAGGCTCTTTATTACATTATCCATCAGCTTAAATGAATGTGGTCCACCCTGGTCACAGAGCAACCCTGTAGAACAATGTGAGTGATGAACCCAAAGCCTCCAACACTTAGGCAGTTTTGTTAATACCACAGAGTATCTGACCCTCCATGGTGTCCACTCAATTTTTACCTACTGCCAGATAATCAAGTACACTTCAGGCTTACTCCTGTCTTTAGTCCTTGTCACCATGCTGTGATGAAGAACCCCTGACAACACGGAAACTCTAATTACCATGCAAAGACCTGCCCCGGATGCCTCTTATTTTACACCGATGGCACGTAACAGATATGAAATTGGCAGGGGGCAATGGAAATTATGCTAAATGCAATGATTTCAAAAGCCTGCTGCCTCTGGCCCACCTCCCAACCACACAATTGGTAAACACGAGGAATATTTTCCTAGTTTCATAAGAGCTTGCAGTAAGCACATTTTTCTAGTTTTAAAAATTCTCAGCCACGTGAAGCAAAGATCTCGTCAAGCATAAACACTCCCACTACTTCTGCTTACTGTAAAGTCAAGCCTGTATGGAGGCATAAGGCCAGGTGTGGGGTCAATTCTCTTTTCTGCCAATGAATGCAGTTAAGAAAAAGCTTTGATTTTACTGTAGCCATGTACTCTACCCAGGAGATGTATAAGAATAGACCATGCCAGGGAAGTTCCATAGGACCCTAAAAGGAAAACTCTACACAAACACTAGTATTCTTCTTAAAATTTTAAAAGACTTCTCCTTACCTATCTTCCCTATCTTTAAAATGAAGCATGAGGAGTTTTGTTTAATCTTTTGTGATAGATTCAAGAATCCACACCTTTGGCTCTCATTTCAGAACTGCATTTAAAAAAAACAAGCTTAATTCACCTTAATATAAAATATAACCCATTTAGGGGAAGTCATTACAATGACAATGGACAGACATAAAACCAACTTCATTTTAACAAGCTGTCCCTGATGCTTGGCGACACATTCCCCTCCGGGTAGGGATTGTCCGTGCCACCCAGAGCACAGAGTATAAAATGAAGCAAAAGGTATGTGAGCTCTCACTACATCACTGCTGTTTCAAAGACTGGGGTTTATTTCTTTATTTCCAGGTCCTCTGACAGTGTACTAGTGATTGGACCCACTGGTTTAGCAGAAGGTGGCAGCTTACCTTCTGGAGACTGACATCAGCCTTCAGCAGGATGTCCACAGTCTGCCTTGGGAGGGACAGGTTGTGATGAAGGAATCCAGAGAAGGTTTCATTGTCCACCAGGAAATCCTGAAGCTTCAAATCTATCGAGAAATGGTGTTTTGTTTACAGTTAATAACTCAAAAAAAAAAAAAGGCTCAACCACTATGGGGCAGGTGGAGAAGAATAGAATATTGATTGCTTCATTTTAAATGGATGGGCGAGCATGGGCTTCTGGCTTCCATACACTGAGAAGAGAATTATAGTAGCTTTTTCTCACTGGGAAAGACATGAAAAAGATTACTTTCTGATGACATGTTGAGCCACACTCAGTGTGTGTTCCCATACTCCAACAGCATAACAGTGCTGTTACACACATGGTCTTTCCTGGTTTCCAACTGAAAAACCAAGCCTTTAAAATGATCTCATCCATCCTACCTGAGATTTGTGACATGAGCCCTGCTGCTCCTGACTCCCCGATGCCCTGTCATGTAGCTAGAACTGAAAATACTGAAAGCCTTATTTCCACAGGCCACAGGCACTAATCTCCTGTATCTAACCTTTCTGTGGATCGGCGTCACTCGATAGGCTGCTTCAGCTAGACTGCTGGACACCAGCCCCACAGCATCTGATTCAGGTGGTTTGTTGATACAGCCGGAGCATCTGCACATCTAGCAAGCTCTTGGGGGGGGTGCTGATGCTGGGAGCATGGGAACTACACTTTTGAGAATCACTGGGGTGACTTTTGGAGCATATCTAGGCTTTTACAGACATGGCCATGAGATGCAGAGATGCAGTTCCTCCAAACACTGAGGAAAATATGTAAACTTATGCTTAAAAACCCACCCTTTACTAAGTGCACTGTCTTCTGAAGGCTTTCACACTGACTCCCATTAAGCAATCAGCTCTCAAAGTACATCCAGGAAAGGCTTCAGCCCAGTGTCATGAAAATAGCAAAGCACTGACCAAGAACTCAGAATTTGAGTCTCTGGTGGGAGGCTGCATATGATGGCATCATTTGGCCATTTCTAACATCTTCCTGAGTCTCGGGTCCTTTTGCTCTGAAGCTAGGGCATTCTGAGCAGATGCTCTGCAACAACATCATTTTCCTGCCTTATTTTATGGACTATATTTATCTTCTCTTTCTACTGTAAACTTCTAATAACCTGATTCTTTTGCAATTAAAAAAAGACAAACAAACAAACAAACAAAAAAACGAAAGCAAGCAACAAAAACAATCTTATCTGTGACAAGATGGCTAGTAGGACAGGCAGTTATTTGCAGAATTGTGGCCCACAGGCCCAAACACAATCTGACCACTAGAGGGCAAACTTTACAAATCACAGGAAGAGAGAGGTTTTATCTAAAAACAAGACTACAGGGTGCACTGATGAGAACAGGAGTATATCCTGGCATCTAAAAGGGTCCCCCTACATGGAGACAAACAGACCAGGCAGGCTATCAATAGATCCAAATGATTCAGACACCTTCTGCCTTGAGCAAAGTTCAGTGATTTTTGAACTTAGGGGGCTCCAGAAAGACCAGATAAGAAGTGGTTCTCCTCAATGCCTGCCTTTGTGGTTCGCTCCTATGGTTGTTTCCATGTGACATCCAGAAGCTGATCCTAGGTCTGTGAGTGTCCCTCCTTGAAATCAGCACTCCAGCAAGCTGTCACCTCCCTGCTGTTTCCATCATATAAGTTACACTGGTATTGCTGAATGCAATTCTATGGTTGCCAAGTCTCAGAGCTCCTAAGACTCACTTAGGAGGCATGCAAAAAAAAAAAAAAAAAAAAAAAAAAACTACAGTCTCTGGGGCTCAATTCCTTCAGATACTAAAACCGGTGATTGTAAGAGAGACCAATCACAAATCTTCATTTTAATAAGCAGTCTCGATACTTCCAATATTGGTGGTCTGGGAGCCATATATTATGACATGTTATTTTACTTAAATATTGCATGCATTGAACTCTACTTATAAGAATACAGAATGTCTTTTACCTTAGTGCTCCACATACCCAGAACAAGGCCTGATATAGAATTATTGCTGTCAACAATAGCTGAATAAATGCTATATGAGATTACCAGAAAGATTCCAGAACCATCTTTCAGCTTAGTGGCTCCAGGAAGAGGCTAAGGGTATCAGGACCATCTCTAGACCACACCCCAGGAGTAAATAAGAACCTAGACCACTGACGTTGTCTTCCCAAAGACAACATATCAAACAACCGGCAGCATCCTCATGACAGAAGGAATGGAGGAAGGAAAGGAAGCAGGTAAGTAGGGAGTCAGAGGGCTTCAGTTGAAGCTTTAAAAAGGCAGACATGCTTATAACTAAATTTAAACAAAAAAGAAGAAGAAGAACTGGAGCTCAGTATTGCAATACCAATGGCAATCCAAAACCTGGGTTCTATATCCATGTATTTACCAGATTGTTTGACCTACTTAAACTTCCATGACCTGACCTATAAAATGAGGACCAAAAGGAGCCTCTGGGAACCCTTGCTAGAACAAAATAAATTTTGAAATAACACTCGGATCAAACAATTGAACACAAATTCCTCTTAAGCAAAGCCACAGCAGTACATAGCATCCTACTTAGACACTTGAGAAGTTCTCCCTCCTTCAGGGCAGCAGAAATGTGGGAGGATGACCCAGGCTGCACTTTCAATGGGTCTTGGTCACCCAGCAACACTCTGGAGACCAGCAAATGTGCTTGGCATGTTTATAAGATTCTCCTGTTATGTCAACAGGACTGGAGGATACAACAGGCTCGAAAGATAAAAAAAAAAAAAAAAAAAAAAAAAAAAAAAAAAACAGCTGGATGAGATCACACTCCAACTGCCTAGCCCCTGGATGAGACACGGAAACCAAGAAGCCAGTTAAACAGTCAACAACCTTTGGCAGTGCATGAGCATGGTGTGGCGGACCAGCTGGGTGGGGAAGCTGCAGGGAGGGCCAAAGATTCCTGGCTACAAACAACTAAAACTTACAGTCTGGTCACATGGATAGACACACATTATCTCCCACTGTCACATCACCACGACAGCTGCAACCCATACACACACAGGAAAGCAAAATTGTGTGGTATGCTAGTTCTCAACCTTGGATGCTGCTAGACCCACTCAGGAGCTTTAAAAAAAAAAAAAAAAAAAAAAAACTCCCAAAGCCTAGACCGCACCCCAGAGCAATGAACCAGAACAGAATTGCTTAGGGTAAGAATTGGGTCTCAGACATTAAAACAAAAGCAAAAACAATTCCAATCAAGTTTGAATGTGGTGGTGCATACCTGTAATCTCAGTACGTGGGAGGCAACAGACTGCAAAATAGTGGCCAGCCTGGGCTACAGACTAAGTTTCAGGTCCATGGTTACATAGAGAGATCACACCTCAAAACAAAATTATATGTGTAAAAAGGAGTTTGAGACCATAAAATCCAAAATGTAGTAGTGTCTCCCATTGTAAGGCAGCTATGTGGCCATAAGAAGGTTCATTGTCTTAGAGAGGCTAAGCTTTCTCTGTAAAGGAAAATAATAGAACCTAGCTTTTGAAGAGCTGGAGACTAGAGAGGTTATAAACCAGAGCAATGGGTAACTGGCTAGTGACAAATGCTTATTAAATGGTAATATATTCATTGTCACTAAAATGGCTATTTTACTTGGCTTTGGTACACTATGTAGCAACATGCAGAAAAAAATGAGAACACAGATCTGCCCTCAAGAGGTTTTCTCGGTTATTAGTAAGAGAGATGAAGAGGAGCACAAATTACAGGAAGCAGAAGAAAGGGTGGGAAAGCCAAAGGAAGTCCATAAAAGCAGTCAGGAGAAGATTAAATGTATCCACAAGAACATCATGAAGGAAATTAGGCTACAGTTCTAGAAACAACTATAAATCAACCACCCCTGGAATTTAGTGGAGTAGAGACAATCCCTCTCATGATGGCAGGCACCCAGAAATTCTGTACTCACAGGGCTATATACATAGTAAATTCTCAACATTCTCCATGAACAAAGAGAAAGAGAGAACAAATTCTACAAAACACCAGAAGTGGGGAAGAAATGATACAAGGACAGAGTGGAATGGTTTTGCCCTTGCTGGTCTCTGTCTTTAGTATGCAGCTAGCTGGGTAGAGAAATGAAAATAATGGACTAAGCCAGATGACTGAAACAGATGTTCTTATTGAGTGAAGACACTGGATGGATGGATGGATGGATGGATGGATGGATGGATGGATGGATGGATGGATGGATGGATGGATGTATGGATTGGTGGCTGGGTGGCATGGGTAGGTAGATAAATGAATGGGTAGATGAATGAGTGGGTAGATGAAAGGATGGATGGACAGATGGATGGATGGGTGGTGGGTGGGTAGATGGTTAAGTCGATAAACAGATGAATGAGTAGATGGATGAATGAGTGTGTGGATGGATACAAATGCATGAATATAAAATGATCTGATGTGGCCTGGGAAATGGCAGTTTTGAAGAGGTAAATTCATCTTGTAGTGGGAAGGGGAAAGACCAGTCAGGACATGAAAGTGAAACAAATGGGGTCAAGATGGCTAGTGTCCCTAAGCCTACTTGGTTTCATCAGCCCAAGGAAAGAGAAGCATCTGGGAGACAGCAGCTGGAAGCTCAGCAAAATAAATAAGAGGGAGGCAGAGTTAATTAAATGACGAAACACAGCGAGATACAGCAGCTCACACCTGCAATCCCAACTATTCAAGGAGGCTGAAATAAGAGGATCACAAAGTCAAGGTCTTCTTGGTTCACAATATGAGTTCAAGGCAGGCCTGGGCAACCTAGGCTGTGGATATGTCTCAGTGGTTAGAGCACTCACCTAGCAGGCATAAAACTGAGTTCCATTCCCAGGACCAGAATAAATAAGTGAACAAACAAACATAACAAAAAATGACAGTAATAGCCACCTCCCTGGATTGACAGTGAGGGTTGGGTTAGAAATGTTGGTGCAAGCCAGGGGAATTCCTGCGCCGAGTGAAATGCTCGTAAGGAACTGCTAACATGATCCTGTCTGGGATGAATGTTCTCATTAGCTGAACCGCTGTGTTCAGAACAGATACAAAGAGAGAAGGGACTTTGCCAAGAA